GTGAATTCTTCTTAAACTTCTGGGGTCAGCTGAAGATTGTTGGATAGTGTTCAGCTGAATGAATAAATGCCAAATGAATAAAAACACAGAGAGGGAGTGGGGGCGGGGGGTAGAGAGAGGGAGAGGAAGAGACTGACTCAGAAGCAGCCATTTAGGCCTGCTTTGTTTTCCTGGGTAGGCGCCGGGATTGCAATTTCAAACTGTGTTTTAGAGTGTGTGAGCTTAATTAAATTTAACACGTTGGAGCAACTTAACTTAAAATAGCAATTCATATTTTCTGCTAACAGAGACGTCGCCAGTTTACGTGATGGAGGGAAATGCATCAGGGTTTCAGGAATGTGGTTTTCAAAGGGCGGAGACCTCTGGCTATTCAGTTAATGTCATTGTCCCCAAGTGCACTCTCCCCTCCTGCACCTTGCTCTGGTGGAATGCTGACCACTGAGACCAAGGGGCTCTGCCTTCAGTGGGCTTCTGCCATGGAGAAGAGAAGCAGAAGGTTGGGCCGGGAAGAGGGAGGTTGGGCTACTTGTTTGTTGGGTCCCCACCCCAGGAAGTGACCCTGGAAACTCCATCACCCCAATCCTGTAGGCCATCGTGTCTCAATGAGGGGTGATTTTGACCCTAGAGGCCATTCAGTAATGCTTGGAGACATTTTTGGTTTGTAGAGCTGGGGGTGTGTTCTGGACTGCAAGTCCTGGAGGCCAGGGTGCTGCAAACATCCTGCAGTGCAGAGGGCAACGGCCCGGCCAGGACTTAGCCAGGCCAGGGGTCCTGGGGGCTGAGGCTCAGGAACTGTGCTCTCGTTTGCTGCTTCTCAGATTCCTCCAAAAGGACCAGCTCTGTTTCTTCCCTGTCTGAATGCTTTTGTAATTATGTAACAGACATTAGAAAATACCATCATGCGCTTGGAGGTGACAGCCCATGCCAAGTTGCTCACAACTGTAAGGCCTACTCTCAATTTCTGGGCAGCTGATCATGGAGCAGGAATAAACAGTTCATGGACAGGATTCTTCGGTGGGCCATCCTGTGAGCAAGACCCACCTCTGTGATTCTCTGTCCTTCCTGGGACAGCAGGGGGTGACAGCTAGGTGATACTAGTCTTGGGTTATTGCCTGTTCCCTTGTGGTCCCCCATGCCCTACCCACCTCCTTGAAATGGGTCCTTTCGTAAGCCTGCCCTCAGTTATTATCCCTCTGCCACTGAGCCCTCTGCCTGACAGGCCCCCACTGATTCTGGGATGTTTTCCTGCCTAAGTAAGCAAAGTTGGAGGTCGTATAGGTGGGACGACAAGGAGATGATGCTCAGGCTGCGGCTGCGACCGTCTCTTGTAGGTCATGGCTCGCCCTTGACCAGCACGTCAGTGGCAAGGGACACAGTCACAGTCGAGACTTGGGTGGATCACTCTGGAGATGGTGGGCTGAGGGGACTTCTGAGGAGCATACCTGATGGAGAACATCTGTGTGGCGGCTGTGCCTCTGTCCAGACCAGAAGTGGAGAGGCCCAGGCAGGGCCTGCGCGTGGCATCAGGAGGCAGGGGGCCTTCAGGTAGCAGAACTACCCCCCAGGGAGGGGCAGGTGGGCATGAGGGGGAGTCCAGGCCCCCAGTGCAACCAGGGTCAGCAGATGGCTCTGTTGGGGGTGTGATGGGGTGTACAGAGCACGGGGTGGCAAGGGAATTCCATTTCTGTCACTAGAATTTGAAGAGTGGCCATTCTATGTGACTTTTTCATGTGGCTTGTCTTTGCTACCTGGATCCAGGAGCGGCCTGGCTTCAGACTAAGAAGGGTGGGATCCCAGTGGACCCCATCTGGTCTCCGCTCCATCATTCCCCCAGGGAAGAGTGCAAACTCTTCGGCCTCCTCTTCCTCTGAATCAGAATGATGCTAACTTCCTCAGGGGTTTGCAGGAGCTTATATGAGATATGCATGGGAACTTCCCAGCCCCAGGTAAGGGCTCTGCAAGTCCCGGTTATTGGTGCAGCAGAGATGAACTTGACCTTGCCAGCTGGGGCCTGCTGAGTCAGCTGCTCTGGCTCTCCTTGACATCTCCTGCCCAGATGCATGGGCTTGCGCACACACACACACACTCACACACACACACACACACACACACACACACCCCAGACCCACACCCCAAACCCACACACACCACATACATACACCAGATACATGCTACACCTATACACCACACACACACACACACACACACACACACACACACACCCCACAGGGGCAGAGGATCCAGGAGCTGCCTCCTGGATCTTGGTCCTGGCCTGGGGAAGCAGGATTATTCCTCCTGCCTCATTGCTGGGCTAGATACCCTGGGGGGCTTTTCCAGGCTGACCTTGCAACCCTGGTGCCAGCAGCCTGCCAAGAACCAGCCTCACCCAATGGCACCTCCATGAGCAGCTTGGTCCAACTAGCTTTCATTCCATTATGATTTCCCTTATTTGGGAAGCAGGCAGGGCTCCAAAGTCACCCAGGGACAGCAGGAAGATGAGCAGTGTCTGGGAGGAGTGGAGGCCATGGAGCCAGACTGCCTGGTTTGGGGCCCCAGGCAGTGGCTGGGCACCCTCAGGCAGGTAGTGTAACCTTTCTGTGCCTCAGTTTTTTTGTCTATAAAGTGGAGATGCCATCGTGGTAACTACCTCTGGACAATTGCTGGGAGGATTATGTGAGTATTCATGCTCTCTGAAGAGCTGAGGATGGAGCTGGCCCAAGGCAAGGCCCTGGGAGCCACTCTCATTTCACTGTCATTTTAGTAATGACAGCAACAGTCCCAGCGCCTGCCTCCCAGAAGGTGGGTGCACATGGAGATGACCTCAGGGGTCTCGAGGCAGGTCCTGTGCTGGGTGGTTGGGAGTGTCAAATGCAGGAGTGATGGGGACAGCCATGTGGCTGTAGGTGTCCAGGACGCAGCACGCCCCCCTCCTCCGGTGGCTTTGCTTTTTCAAGTCACCCGAGCCCTCCAGGTGGTGGAGGGCAGGGATTCACAGCGACGGCAGCTGGGCTGCTGGGGTCTGCATCCCGGCTCTGTCCCCCACTGCAGAAGGAGCATCATGGCAGCGGCCACCCAGAGAGCTTCTGGAGAGCTGAGTTGACAGGCACAGGGCACCACAAGAGCCTGGTACTCAGGTGCCAGCTGCTAGTTGCTCTTACCACTGACATCATTCTGGGTGTGCCCAGCTCCCGCCTCACCAAGTTGCATCTATAGCCTCAGGGAGGAGGAACTGGGCTTGGGGATTGCCAGTGTCCCCAGGAACACGGGTCACATAGGGATCCTTGGGCTCTGTCCGGAGGGCCAGGGATCCTATGGGTGGAGCGTGAGCTGCAATGGGCCCTACAGGACTTGAAATGAAGAAATGCATCCCTGTATCCATCACAAGCCCAGACTGTGGACCTAGAAATAAAGTCAAAGTCCCCAAACTGCCTCATCCCAGCAGTCCCAGCTGTGTGACCTCTGGTAATCACTTACCCTCTCTGAGTCTCAGCCGTTCCTCCTGTGAAATGAGAGCCCTAAGCACTCTTTCACAAGAGGGCACAGTGCCAGGTAGAACTGTGGCAGTGGAGTCCTCAGACAGATCCACCTCTCCTCCCCTCTGGCCTCTTGTGCCCCAAACCCTCTGGGATGCAGAGGGGCTTGAGGGGCTTTCCCCCAGTGTGACTTCCCCAGCAGCAGGACCCAGGAGCTGGGGGGACAGCAGAGCCTCCCGGGCCGTGCACTGACAGGATGTCAATATCTGCCTGTCAGCCCTGATCTCTCAGGTGGGTGTGCTCAGGCCTCAGTATTTCACATCTGAGATCTCAATCTGTGGCCTGTCTCGGGGCTGGAGGGGCGGACGGAGCCTTCTCGTTCTCAAGTCCTGGGGAATAGGGGGTTGGGGTAGAAGAGGGGCCACCAGGGAGGCTACAGGGCATTCCTTCAGGCCCAGGGGGTATTTCTGCAGGAGGCCTCACCCCTGGAAACAGAAATGGGCCCTCGATTAGAGATGGGGCCTTGCGTCCATGCTTATGTCTGGAAGGCCCAAGCAGGAGGGGCCCAGGCTGCAGTGGACGGACCCCAGTGTGGGAGACGGCTGCCCCATTAGGCCGGTTCTGAAGGTGGAGGCCCTAGCAGGGTCCTCCTGACTGAGAAACTTCCCCAGAGCTGTTGGGGGGGCCACCTGCTGTGGCCTGGAGTGGGGAGTGTCCATCCCTTCCCTGGGGGAGCTCGGTTCTCCACTCCCCCCCACTTCTACTTAAACCCCACCTGACCCCAGCCCCAGCCCAACAGGCCCCCAGTGCAGTCACCAGCCCTCCTGGCTCAGGAGAGAGCCCTGCAGGTGGGGGCAGTGCTGGTGGGTGGCCCAGGGCAGGACCCTGTGTGGCTCAGCAGAGCACCTGGCCCAGAGAGGGCTCAGTGCTGGTGTCCTGAGGCGCCCCAGAGAACAGGGCAGGCTGGAGCAGGGCAGGGCTGACCTGACTCCCCCAACCTCCACATCCCGGAGACTGGGGGATGTTGGCAGCAGGCCTGGGAGGGGGTGGCGGGGGCCCCTTTGTCTAAGTCTTGTTTCTTCGCTCCTTTAATCTCTGCCTCTGGTGTCCCCCCTGCCTCTCCCTGTGTGTCCCCTCTGCACTGTCCTCTGCTGCTTCTCTCACCTCCACCATCCACTTCCTGTTTCCTCTGGGTGGCTTCCTGCCCTCCTCTGCTGCCTTGCTCTCTGATATCCTTCCCTTAACTCCCCACGCTTCCTCTTCCACGGCCTTTCTCCCGCTCCCCCTCCCTGGGTCTCGCTCCTTATGTCCTTGCTTTCCCATTGTTTTCTGTGCCCATGCCTATCACCTGCCTGTCACCTGCCTGTCACCTGCCCTGTCCTCCTCCTCCTCTCCTTGCCCCATCTCCCCTTTCCTGTCCCTCCTCTCCCTGTTGCTCTTTCTTTGGTTCTGCGGGGCTCTCTGCGTCCCTGTCACCTTGACCTTCCACTGCGCCCTCCCTTACCCCATGTCTACCTCCCTCCCCAGGATGATCCCAGCCTCCAACAAGGCCTTCGTGGTCAACAACCTGGTGTCGGGGACAGGCTACGACCTGTGCGTGCTGGCCATGTGGGATGACACGGCCACGACCCTCACGGCCACCAACATCGTGGGCTGCGCCCAGTTCTTCACCAAGGCTGACTACCCGCAGTGCCAGTCCATGCACAGCCAGATCCTGGGTGGTACCATGATCCTGGTCATCGGGGGCATCATCGTGGCCACGCTGCTGGTCTTCATCGTCATCCTCATGGTGCGCTACAAGGTCTGCAATCAGGAGGTCCCCAGCAAGATGGCAGCAGCCGCTGTCAGCAACGTGTACTCGCAGACCAATGGGGCCCAGCCTCCACCTCCGGGCAGCGCGCCCGCCGGGCCAGCCCTGCCAGCCCTGCAGCCGCGGCCCAAGGTGGTGGTGCGGAACGAGCTGGTGGGCTTCAGCGACTCTTCCTCTTCCAGCTCACTGGGCAGCGGGGAGGCTGCGGGGCTGGGACGGGGTCCCTGGAGACTTCCACCCCCTGCCACCCGCCCCAAACCCAACCTTGACCGCTTGATGGGGGCCTTTGCTTCCCTGGACCTCAAGAGTCAGAGGAAGGAAGAGCTGCTAGACTCCAGGACTCCAGCAGGGAGAGGGTCCGGGACATCAGCCAGGGCCCAACACTCAGACCGAGAGCCACTGCTAGGGCCCCCGGCCGCCCGGGCCAGGAGCCTGCTCCCTCTGCCCCTGGAGGGCAAGACCAAACGCAGCCACTCCTTTGACATGGGGGACTTTGCAGCTGTGGCTGCCGCTGCAGGAGGGGTGGCCCCCGGTGGCTACAGTCCTCCCCGGAGGGTCTCAAACATCTGGACGAAGCGCAGCCTTTCCGTCAATGGCATGCTCTTGCCATTTGAGGAGAGTGACCTTGTGGGGGCCCGGGGGACTTTCGGCAGCTCCGAGTGGGTGATGGAGAGCACGGTGTAGCCCCCGGGTGGTACCCTCCCTCCCACCCTCGAGGAGTGGGAGAAGTAGGGCAAAGGACCTTTTCGGGCAAGTCTTGTGGAGTTTCCATGGTGATGTTTACATCCAGGGGCAGTTCTGTCTCCCGGTCAAGGCCTCTCGTCCCTTCCCCCCAGTCCCCCGCCCCCCATGTCACCTTCCCAGGCCCGTCCCCACCACCCAGCAGGGTGTGCTCAGGGAATGTGACTCGCTCAAGTGTCCGCTGAGCCCTGAGTGTTTGGAGAGGCGGGGACTCCGTCTTTCTGATCACAAATGTAGCTTCGAGCAAGCGGCTTCGGATCGCTCATGGGTCCAGTGCTGTTTTTATTTCTAATTTATGTTTCCATTTCCCAGACTTCTCCTCTTCATTCCCACAGATAACCGAGAGAATTCCCTCTACACGAGAAAGAGTCCTCCCTGGTTGCGGGTGACCACGGCCAGTTGGCAAGGCGTGGGGATGACTCTGGTCTCAGTCTTGTTTGGAGATGAGTGTGGAGTTCCCTGCCCAGAGCCCTCATTACCCCCAGCCATCCCCACGCCCTGCTCTGGTAGGCAGGAATGGCCGACAGTGACCCAGTGTCCTTTGCTTCTCAAATAGGCCCTCACCCAGCACAGTGGCTTAAGCCGGAGGGTGACCTCCAGGACCTACACATGGGCAGGGAGGGGGCTCTAGCCTGTAGGGCATAGGGACCTTGCTCTGGGGTTGCTTCAGGGCATTTGCCTCTTTTCCTGGGAAGCTGGGACAGGAAGTTCCCATGATCATGTGCTGGCTGAGAGGGGTCTTATTAAGAGATGTGGGGTGACCAGGGGACAACAGATTTTGAGCCCAGAGCTCTGGGTGTGGTTTCCAGAGCCACAGGGACCACCAGCTGAATAACACAGGCGAGGACATTTTCTCTGTAGATCTCAGCTTTCTAACTGGCAAAATCCTGAGACAGAACTGGAAGACCCCCCACTTCCCTTCCAGTCTCAGGACTCACTGGCTTTCCCCAACTCTAGCGTACAGCGGTGTCCAGCTCAGTGGGCCAGGAGCACCAGCTGCCAGAGCAGTCCTTATCCTCTCCGGGCACAGAAGGAACATTCTAGACGTTTGAGGGGAAACGGAATCAGAGTTTTGGAGCTTGGGGAGGTATTATGATCATCCCACCCTCATCCCTTCCTGCGTCTCCCTGAGAGCAGAGACGGGCCCACAGTCTCATGGAGCATTAGTGACCAAGCCAGGGCAGGGCGGAGGCTGCCTACCTCCTGGGGGCATTGTGATCCATGCCCCTGTCTTCACCCCATCTAGAACAGTTCTGTGTCCCAGGTCTGTCCCCTGTCTGTTCCTGAAGAAGGAGGCTCAGGATGGGATCTGGGGTGCCTTCTGGATGGTTCCCTGAGGAGGACCCACCCCTAGAGGTGGGCAGGGTGGGAGGGGAGGCTCACCATTCCTGTCTACCTAGGGATTAACCCCCCACTCCCAGAGAGGCGGGGAGAAACTCTGGAGGACAAACCTGAAGGGTGTTCCCTGCATCTCTGTTGTCCTGGCCTCTGCCTCCTTCTACGTCTCTCCCCATTACCAACGCACTACCTCTCCCTCCCTTGGTCTCCCCGATTCACGCCTCCCTCCCCCCAGCCTCCTCCACGGACCTCCACCCTCTTCCTCTTGTTCTTCTTCCTCCTCCTTCTACTTGTCCACCACAGTGTAAAAAGCACACAGGTGAGGCCATCCTGGACGTTGTAGAAGTTCTGATGGGCTCCGGCCTGATGCTGAGGCAAGCCCCGCCCCTGCCTCCCGGGCGCTGGAGGGTGGAGGCGGGGCTCCCTGCAGGGCTGCCTTCTGGCTCACGTGGGAGCCTCCCAACCCAGCTGTGCCCTTCCGCCCTCTCTCCCCCCTGCCCCCTCCTGTCTTGGTTCTTCTTTTCCTGTCTGCTACTCTACCCTCCCCCTATCTTTTTCTGGTTCTAACAAGGTCATCAGCAGATCAGGCCAGTCTCTCCCAAGACTCCAGGTTCATTTTCCAAGCCATCCCCAGTGCCAGGGGGATATCCCTTCCCTGTCGGGGTGTCACCCACAGAATTGGGCCACTTGAAGGGAAATCTCTCCCCCCCTTCCCCTCCCCCTTGTCTGTGACTCCTACCCCTTCATCCTGTCCAAACGTAGCCATTGTGGAAGTGGTCTCAAATGCCACCTGACGTTTTGCCTTTGTCAGACCCGCAGGGGGATGTGGTGGACAGCAGAAGGGGAGGACCCAACTCACTGTCTGTGCCCCTCAGCGGGCAGAGCTTTGTGGTGACACGATATGTACTTGCTCTTTTGATTGTCATGTTTCTGACTTTGGGGTTTGGGAAAGCAACATCCCTGTGGTCAGAATATAAATGCCAATCTTCTCGCAAAAGATAAAGTACAGTCAAATGTATGGTTTTCCAAACAGCTACCAACCACACTTCCTGGGAGGGAGGAAAAAAAAAAAAACATTCTCCTGTCTGTGAATGTCTGCTGTTCATTTCTCTGGAAACTCTGGGTTTTCTAAAGATGACTTTGAAATGGCATTTTCTCTTGCACCTGTGTTTGTTACTGCCTGGCGAGAGCTTGCTTCCTGCCAAGTTCATGTAAAAGGTGGGGGAGTTTTCTGAAATAGAGGGTGAGGCCGTCATCCCGGAGTAAAGGTGGACTGTGGAGTGAAACTCCAGGTGGGGAAGGGAGCAGTCCATCCCCAGGCCTGACTGCCCACCTGATACACCAGCCCCCCCAGCCCTACCACACCTGGCCACTAGGGGCGCACGGGTACTTTCCCTCCGTTTTGGTGGAGTCCTGGGTGGTGTTTTCAAAAGGGTCTTTTATCAGAGGACCATGAAGACAAACCAACACTCAAAACCAAAGTATAGGAACAAATAAGCTTCCTGAACACAGCTTCCCAGTCCCAGACCCTCTCTCTATATCTGCCTCAGTGCCACCCCATAGGGATCAGATGTGAGCCACAATGAAATTTTAGACTTCTTTGTAGCCGTGGGGTGAAACAGTTGAGTTCAACATTAGTTATTTATTTTATTTAACCCAATATATACAAAGCATTATTTCAACATGCAATCATTATAAAACTAGTAAAAAGAATTTGCAATTTTTTTTTTTGTACCAAGTTTTGGAAAGCTGGTGTATATTTTACGCTTAGAGCACATCTCAATTCTGGCTAGCCACCTTTAAAGTGCTGGCCACTGAGTTGGACAGCACAGCTCTAGAGTGACAGCAAAATTGACTAGAAAGCAACTTTTGGAAGGTGAAAGAGATGAATGCTTATTAAGTACCTACAGTTTCCAAGTACTGTGCTTGGTACTTCACATACTTTTCTTACTGAACCCTTTCTACATTCTTTCAAATGAGATGTTATTATGTTCTTTTAAAAAATAAAACAATTGAAGTTCAGAGGGGTTAACTTACCCAGGGTCTGTGACGTCACACTGCCCCACTTTCACCCTTCAGCCTGTTACAGGTTGGGTTCTATACTGACACAACTTCCCAAGTTTTGCCCATGAATTTAGCACCCGGCTTTTATTTGATCCTCAGTTTTGACTTTAGGCAAGAACCTGTTGTTTAAGTGGTTCATTCTGACCTCACACTGGCCTTCCTGGCCCTTCTTGGCTTGAAACATTCTCTCCTTCTGCCAGGAATCTTCCTCCAGGATTCAGACTGCCTGGCCTGGCCCACCCCATGGTCACCTTTCACCCCTCTTGGTGACCTCTAGGTTAATGAGCCTTCCCTCTCCAGTCTCCTTGGGTCCCCTCTACCCTGGGAGCCTGTAACTTCTTGCCCTGGAGGTAAAAACCCTCACACCGGCTTGCTCCTATAACCAAACCTATTGTCTCACCTCTTCCTATTCCAAAAATGCTGTTCCTGTCGGGGGAGATACTTACCCACCCAGATTCGCTCTCCTGACAGCTCCCCGTCTTTGGCAGAGGAGAGTGGCAGAGATGGAGGAAATGCTTGATTGTCAGGTGTTCAGGCAGACAATGCAGCTCCCTTCCCCGCCTCCTTGATAATGACACATCGCAGGCTCCCCTCAGAGGAAATGTTTTTTCATTTCTCCATCATAAGAGTGTTGAACTTCTCCCAGATCTTAGGCACACTTTTTTTTTTTTTTAGGGTTGTAATTTTTAGCCAAGTAAGAGAAAGGTCACTGTGTCAGATTTTCCCCTTCCCAAAATGGAAAGGAATGATCGTCCAAAAGTATGGAGTATTGATTGCTCCTAAGCACAGTCCATGTGCTCCCAGGACTTTTGATCTCCAAGTGTCTACAGTGAAGTTCTCAGGGCTTCAGTGAGCTGGGGCTGAGGGCTTCCTCCGCTCTTGCAGCCACTGGGGTTTCTGCACACAACTGCTGGAAAAACATACACTCAAGAGAAAAGACTGTTGGCAGGCAGCAGCCAGAACACCTCAACATGAAGCTTTAAACATCACACCCAGATTCCCAATTCAGTGTGGTCCCATGTGATGCTGTTGGCGACGGGAAAAGTTTGTTGTGTCACGACAGCCTCTCCCAGCCGAATACCTGGGGCTTGTCCCTTTGCAGAGCAGAACCAGATCCACTCAAGTTGCTCTCCCAACATGTAAAAAGAACATTGACCTCCATGTTTAGAACACCTCTATTTGTGCTTTCAGTCTTTAAACCAAAGATCGTGGGTTCTCAGCTTCTGTTGTCTTCATGACGCTTCTCCATATCACAGCCAGGAGGTGTTGACAACCAGGCTCCTGGGTTTCCCTTCTCTGCAGTTTATAGCAGAGGAATGTTGACCTGCTTCCCCAGACCAAAGAGAGGAGCTGGCCTTTACCTCTAAAGCTGTCCTGGGAATCCTGCCATAGCCATGAGGGTCAATCGACAGATCAATGGCCTTGACCCTGATCTCAGTTTGGACAATGTCTTCCATCTCTCTTCTGCTCTCTGACCCAGGGGAAGGGCGTCCAGACTTCTGGTCATTTTCCTGTTCTTCTGGGGATCATTAACCTCTGGCCCCTTTATCCAACAGCAGGATGTGCTGCTGGGGAGTCTAGCCAGTGGCCTTGACCTCACAGGCTGGCATCTGTCTGGAACTAGGGCAAGATCTCCTGCTCTAGTCCCTCTGAGATGTCAGTGGATCTTGAAGGTATATGCTTGGCTTCCTACTGATGAAGAAATGGAGCTAGGATTTCACCCATCTCCAAAGGATCCCAAAGCCCTTCTGGCCTGTAGTCAGTCAGTCCATTTACCAGCCTCCCATGGCCTCAGGTCCCTCCAACCAGCCTGGTGATTCAATGGTGAACTCACCACCTTACTTTTGCACATGCTCAGGAA